CGACAACCTTACATAGGGATGGACCCGGGCCGGGCCGGTTCCGGTTCCGGGCCGGGCCCGGGCGGGCTTTTTTTGGGGATTGTTGGGCCCGGAACCGGCCCGGGGTGATACCGGGTCCGGTTCGTGCCGGGTCGACCCGGTCGGGTCCGGGCCGGGCCGGGCCGGGCCCGGGCTTTAATTTTTTTTTTTTTTTTTTTTGATACCAAAATTAAATTAATATTACTTGGACATAAAAAAGGGTAAAACATATTTATTTGATATTTGTAGTACAATTGAAAATTGAGTAAAAATAAAAACATGAAATACACTTTATAATAAGTAATGAAGTATGAATCAATTAGAATTTCCTCCATCTTCAGTTGTTTCTTCCATAAAGTGGCGAGTGGGTTCAATGCTTATTTCTTGAGTTCTACGTTTGGCCTTCAACCAATCGTGGAAGCAAACAAGCGTCTCAAGAGAGTTTGCGCTTAATCTCGTTCTATAATCCGTTAGGACGTTGCCGGCCGCACTAAACTCTTGTTCCACAGCAACTGTTGATACCGGCATTGCTAGCACTTGCTTAGCCATCTTTGATAAGATCGGGAACGTTCTCTCTTTTTCCTTCCACCACTGAAGAACGTCAAAGTCATCCCCTTCTTCATAATCAACAGGAAATGTTAGATACAAAGAAAGCTCGTTGATCGAGCTTTGTTCATTAACCGGAGTTGATTTACTTTTTTTCATAAGATTGCCAAATGCAGATTTGAAAATTGATTTTCCTTTAGATGAAGAAGATGTTCGTGGCGGGGGAGGGGGTGCGTTACCATATTGTGCATGAAACTCATTAAATAATTGATATAATAAATTACTAACCTCTTGGAATTGTTGTTTAGGGTCTATGGCCTTGTCGTCGTACATAGGCAATGGACCAAAAAAAGAAGCATAATAGTAATCTAAACATTTCTCCAAAGAATAAAGTCTAAAACGAGGATCAAGAACAAATGCAATACCATATATATGCGGAATATAGGAATAATATTTTAAAAACTTTTGTTTCATGAAGTCACAAAAATAACTAACGTAAGCGGCGTCAGAGAATTCAGAAAAAGCGCCGGCGAGATTAACAGCTTCAACAAAAAATTGGTTTGCGGTAGGTTTATAAACATGACTAAAAGTTTCAGTGGCATTATTAAAAAACACCAAAACATTCACAATTTTTTCACAAGTGTCGATATCGGCCGGGTTTATAATATAGTTAGCATATTCTCTTAAAAAAGCGGGAAAATGGTTTTTATATCTAATAAGCACTTTAATTAAATTATAAGTACTATTCCAACGAATAGACAAATCTTTAGGAAAAGCACAATATTTGACACGTCTTTCTTTCAAATAATTTCTCCATTGCATCTTAAGTGGATTACTAGCCCAAATCAGTTTAATCCCCCCCTTGACCACCTCCAAAGCATCTCCCAACGCCGCAAGACCGTCCTTTACACATAAATTTAAAATATGACATGCACAACGCTGATGAAAAAACCTACCCATCAAAGAAGATGAACCACACAATTCACGCAATCTAGGAATAGCCGCAGTATTATTAGTAGCATTATCAAAACCAATAGCAAACACCTTATCAATCAAATTATACTCAACTAAAATACGCTCAATGAGAATATAAATATTATCGCCGGTGTGTCGATCATTAAATTCACGAAAAGCAAGAACACGTTTATGCATACACCAATCATCATCAATATAATGTGCAGTCAAACCCAAATAATATAAATGATGATGAGTATCCTCCCATATATCACTACATATGCTAACACGGCCATCAAAGTTTGCGAAAAATATTTGTAATTTTTCCTTTTCCAAAACATATTGCCTTATAACTTCTTTTTTAATTGTTTTGCGACTATAGTTTCGAAATTGAGGATTTAAAGTACCTTGAGCATATTCTTTTAAAGCAAGACTTTCGGAAAAAATAAAAGGCAAATTTTCTTCAACAATCAAATGTGACATACCAGTCAAATGTCTTTGATCATCATAGGAGAAATTACCGAAGGGTTGGCCACTTCCAAATCTTGAAATTTGTGTTTGCTTTCCCTTGCCTTTGTCTGATTTCGCATATTCCGCCGGGTGCTTGGCCTTAAGATGCCTTGTGGCGCTCCCGTACCCTCCAGAAGTTCCCAAGTTATACTTCTTTGGGCAATGCTTGCAAGTGGCGTACCATATCTCGGTTTGGGGGTCTTTAAATTTTGTAAAATTTGCCTTAAAGACTGATTCAGCTTTCTCACCGCCTTGGGAAGAAGTAGCCACTTCCGCTTGCTCTTCATCATCGTACGGTGTGCCATGAACCTCGTGCTCGACCGTTTGCGGATCCCTCTCCTCCGCATCATCATCCTCGAGCTCTTCTTCGTCAATGGTCGGGATGTTTTGTTGATGGAAGAAGGCCCCTTGATTTTGTTGTAATAGTTGTTCTACTTGCTCATCGGACATCGCAGACCCATATCTTTGGTTATAATCCGCATCAAAATCATCTCGGGTTTGAGATGAAGCCCCGGCCCGTCCCTTACCTTTCTGCAAGCTTGGATGATTCCTCGCAATCTCCTTTGTTCGGTTGCGGCGGAGGTTACCCATATCTACTGAAGCTCTACCACGTTCCATCTTAAAAATATAACAAATATTAAATTCGAAGTACAATTAAACTAGTGAATTTCAAATACAAATCTAACAAATCGAACTACAATGTAACAATTAAATTCGAACAATTAAATTGACTAGAATGTAACAATTAAAATGTACCAATTAAATTAACTTTTATTATAAAATTTGAACAACTTCAATATAAATAACAATTAACTAGTTCAATAGGAGAAATTTTAACTAGACATTAAATGTAACAATGCAATGAAATTTAGAGGAGAATAATAAATGTAACAATGAATTAACTATTTTGATAGGAGAAATTTAACTACTTTTATATTAAGTGTATAAGTAGATAAAGTAAATATATATATTTAAAAGTAGATAATAAGTAGATTAACTAGTAATATATAATATTATGTTTATAGTATATATAATATAAATATATGACTATAAGATGAGGAATACACTTAATATATTAAGTAGATAAATTTTCGAACAACTATAATATAATTAACAATTAACTAGTTTGATAGGAGAATAATAAATGTAACAATTAACTAGTATTAGAGGAGATTAAGAAATGTAACAATTAACTAGTTTAACAAGTAAACAATTAATTTCGAATTCTTGTCTAACAAATTTTAATGTAACTATTTCCAATAAACTAACAACTACCAATTAACCACTTATATAGCAATGAACTAATACTAAAAGTCTAAAATGATAAGTGAAACAATTAACAACTTTTATATTAATGAAGAATGTATTAGTGTGTAAACAAAATTAATGGGAATGTTTGATAGGAGAATAATAAATGTAACAATTAACTAGTATTAGAGGAGATTAAGAAATGTAACAATTAACTAGTTTAACAAGTAAACAATTAATTTCGAATTCTTGTCTAACAATTTTTAATGTAACTATTTCCAATAAACTAACAACTACCAATTAACCACTTATATAGCAATGAACTAATACTAAAAGTCTAAAATGATAAGTGAAACAATTAACAACTTTTATATTAATGAAGAATGTATTAGTGTGTAAACAAAATTAATGGGAATGTTTGATAGGAGAATAATAAATGTAACAATTAACTAGTATTAGAGGAGATTAAGAAATGTAACAATTAACTAGTTTAACAAGTAAACAATTAATTTCGAATTCTTGTCTAACAATTTTTAATGTAACTATTTCCAATAAACTAACAACTACCAATTAACCACTTTTATAGCAATGAACTAATACTAAAAGTCTAAAATGATAAGTGAAACAATTAACAACTTTTATATTAATGAAGAATGTATTAGTGTGTAAACAAAATTAATAAGTAGATAATATTATGTTGATAGTATATATAATATAAGATGACTAACAAGATGACTAACACACTTATATATGTAGTAAATATATATTTATAAGTAGATAATAAGTAGATAATATTATGTTAATATTACTACAAGATGACTAACACACTTATATATTATACTTTAATATATAAGTATATTACTATAAGTTGAGTAATACACTTATATATTATACTTTAATATATGTATAACTAATATAAGTATATATTAAGTATATGTAATATGTGAATATAAGTAAATAAATATACTTATATAAGTAACAATAATATAATAATTAGATATTAATATAAGTAGATAATAAATTATATAAATATAATATATGTAGTAATAAATTTGAGAAATTGAGAAGATGAAGATGGGAAAGATTAATAGAGAATAGAGATTAGAGATTTAGAGAGTAGAGATATTTGGAGAAGATGTGTAGTAAAGTGTATAGAAAAAATGGAGTATTTATAGATATTTAGTACCCCACCCCCACCCCCCACCCCCCCCACCCCCCACCCCCCAACCCGGGACCCCCTGGAAGGCTCCCAACGGCTATAGAGCCGTTTGGGTTGAAAGCCAACGGCCATAAGGCCTGTTTGGCTGAAAAACAAAATTTTTTTTTTTTTTTAAAAATGTAACCGTTAGGCCCGACCCGGGCCCGAACCGGCCGGGCCGGGCCACCAAACAAATGAACCGGACCCGAACCGCCAAACCCCCCCGGGCCGGGTCAAAGCCCGAACCGGTTCACCAGTCCCGGTTCCGGGCCGGGCCTGCACAGTGGCGGGCCGGGCCGGTTCCGGGCCGGGCCGGCCCGGTTGAGTCCATCCCTAACCTTACACATTGATGAAATTGATGTAAGCTGTATGGCATTGCATGTGAAAGAGCACCTAGAAGATCCATCCCTGAGGTCTGAACCTTTTTTGGGATCGAGCTATGGCTTTCAGTCTTAGCGAGTCCCCCACAATCTATTTACAGTGTAAGAAGTCAGAAATTGATTTCTTGACTATACTTCAAGAAAATGCAAATCGTCCCAAATTGGCCACTAATGTCAAAAGGCCGAATAGATTGATTTCTTTCTTTTAAAATCAGTCAAAATTCAGCCTAATCGAACCAATTCATCCACTATGTTTTCTGTTCCAGATCAGATCAAATCAGACCTTACCAGATTTCCGTAATTATAAAATACACAGAGACCAAACATTTATCAGACCAGATTGAATGTTAGAGTACATCCAAACTTTTATTACTTGTATTAATTAATTAAATGTAACCACAAACAGAAATCTTAAATCACAATCACAAAAACCATTTATATTACATAATTACTTGGCATCATAACAATGATAACATCACTGATCTTACACACTAAGCTTCTTCATCTCCCTCCTAAGGGCATTGGCCCTGACCAAACTCCCAATAGTATTTACGGCAAGCTTCAAGTCTTCAATGGGGTTTCCGGGCGCCACCTTCTTGTACAGATAGCTATCAAACGTCATCTTCTGCACATACTCGTCGGCGCACAGCTCCACGAACGCCTCCCTCGCCGGATTCGACCGGTAAAACACCTTCTGCAAGATATCCAGCACTTTGTACGTCGGCCAGTAAGTCTTGTCCCATTTCTCCAAGTACTTTCTGAGATCTGATTCCTCCACCATTCTTTTTCCTCTGCTGGATCCCTCCACGATGGCTTCCGCGCACATCCGCCCGCTCTTCGCCGCGAAGTAGATCCCCTCGCCGGAGCACTTGGTCACGTACCCGGCAGCATCGCCGACGAGCGCGACTCTGTCCTGGATCCGGCGGGGACGCGGGTGTTCCGGGATTGGGTGGGCTTCCACGCGGATGATCTTTCCGCCGCTGATTTTGGACTCCGCGCGTTGGCGCGTTGCCAGCTGGAATTTCTTGATGTCCTGCTTGTGGGTCACCGTGCCGGTGCCGACGGCGACGTGGTCGCATTTGGGGAAGACCCAGCCGTAGAAATCAGGGGAGACGTCGTCGCCGACGTACATCTCGGCGAGATCCTCGTAATACTTCATTTTGTCGTCGGAGATGCGGATGCGTTCCTGGAAGGCGATGGCGTACTCGTAGTCGCCGGCATCGATGGATTTCGCCACTCGGGAGTTCGCGCCGTCGGCTCCGATGACCGCATCGACCTCCAGGGTCTTCTTCTCGCCGGCGCCGCCGACCTTGGAGTCGTAACTTGAGTAGTGGAGGACGTAGGGGGCGGCCGGTGACTTCGGCAGATCCATTTTCAGAAACAACCCGTTGATAACAGAGGCTCCGGCGGCAGCCGCCCGTTCACGGAGGAAGGCGTCGAGCACCTCACGGCGGACCATACCGATATACTCGTGGGGCTTGAGTGTGCGGCCGATATCGACGGCGACATTCGACGGCGAAATCATCTTCATTTTGGTGACTCGGCGGTCAATCAGATCCAGCGGGATGTCAAACTCACCGACCATACAGAGTGGGATGGCCCCACCACAAGGCTTGCAGTTGTCCATCTTCCGTTCAATCAAGAACGTCTCTACACCGCCCCTGGCTAACGTTTCAGCGGCGGAGCCACCGGCTGGGCCACCACCGACGACAGCGACCCGAAGATTCCGACCGGTGACTCGCGGGCTGCTGTTGGATGCATTTATGCGGAGGACCCTGCAACGGGAGTGGGTTTTGGGGAGCGGATTAGAGAGGGTGGCGATGGAGGAGTTCTCCGGCGAGAGATGACGGAATCCGGTGAAGGGTTTGAGAGTAATGGAAGCCATTTTTGGAAGTGAAGTGATGTGAAAATTTTGGTTGATTTTATTAATCTTTTTTGCGAAGCTATGAGAAAACGGCGACGGTTGGATGTTTTGAGATGGGCGGTCAAGATGGACTTGGATAATGCGAAGCGAGTGGTTTGTGTTTTGCCACGTTCTTCAACAGTTGGGTAGGCATTTTTGGACAAGGATAATACAATGGACCATTATTGTAAGAATTGAGACCGCGACTGTTCTAAAGTACTCGTACTAGTTTGCAAAGAAAATTTGACTTTTCATGTGAAAAAATTATATGAAAAATAAATAAAAATGATTCTTGAAAGTAACTTCATCCTATTGCTTCAGAAAAATAACTCAAACTGTAATTGGATCTTTTTTATATTATTGAAATTGGTGAAGGCTTTCCTAAGCGAATGAATCTGCTGAATTGTGGGGAAAAAATTTATAATGATTTTCTGCAATAAGTTTAGCTAATTTAGCCGAAGAGTAACTCTGAATTTATTTATTTTGATTATTACAAAATTCAAAATGCATTATAAAAAATTGTGTGTTTGGTGATAAAATTGGTTAATAGGCTAAAAAGAGGACATTGATTTTATTTTGTAATACAAAATACAAATGTCATGTTTGGTGAGAAAAATGGTAGATAAAGCTAATAAGGTGAAAAAATATGACCATCAAACGAGTTCTTCATCATCTTCCATCTTCGTCACCTCTCATTTTCACGATGTTCCATATTCATCACCTCTTATCTTCATCATTTTCATTTTATTCATCTTCCATCTTCATCATATCATGATCTTGTGCCTTTCATTTTACATACTTCTTCATTGCCTTTCAAGATTGGAAACAACAATTGGATTTAGAGTCACTAATAATGTCATCAAAATTATGGAGTGTCACCCATTCCTAAATTTTGATAAACTTTTTTGTGCGGAGAAATTTGACTGAATGCTATTGAAAAAAAATCATACTTTGCTAATTTACTAGCAAGACATGTTTGGCCCAAAATGAATCTTGAGTTTTCCATTTCTTGAAGGAAATATTTTTTGAATATCAAACAGGGTTCTAATTCGTATACCCATTCAATTGGGATGCACATATTATGCCATTTAAGCCCATAAAATAGGGATTTCATGTAATCCTTTCCAAAAAGTAACTCAAATCTTAATTGGATTTTGTTTGACAATATGGAACGCCATTACACGAATACAGGTATGATGATATGACAACTTAAAAAATTATAGGATACGGGTAAGAGGTATATTTTTAAATAATAATAATAATATACGGCATACTTGGCAAATATATTCGGAGTATAATACAGAGGTTCATAAATAAAATAATAATAGTAGCAAAAGTTTACAATTATAATAGAATTTCAAAAATTAGACTAAATAATATAAAGTAGGAATTTTATTAATTCAGGACCCGAAAGATAGACGAATTATCAATTCGGAACCTGAAAGATGAAATGTATAAGTACAGGACCCGAATGATGGAAAACTATCAATCTAGGGCTCGAATGATTGAAAACTATCAACTTAGGACCTACATTTTCATAAATTTTATTACTTTTTTATTTTTTAAAAATTTAAATAGTGTTTAGTTTTATTAAACTAATAAACTTTTATGAAGAAACATTCACCAAATATTAGACATGAAACTAATAAAAAAAATTAAACAAATCAAACTCTATGAAATGTTAGGTCCTAGATTGATAGTTTTTCATCATTCGAGTCCTATACTAATACATTTCATCTTTCAGATCATGAATTGATAATTCATTTATCTTTCGGGTTTCGAATTGATAAAATTCCTAAAAAGTAATAATAGTTTGATTTGAATTCAAATAATATGTTTGATTCATTATTTGCATTTACATCTAAGTCTTTTTGCAAGATTGATTTCCAATAAAACTCATTAAGCGATAAATTGGAAAATTGTAGTATTTCGAATTATCTTTGCCAATGTTCCATATTGCTTGAGCGGTTACTAAATTTACTTCATGTCCTATATGAAATCAAATTTATTGAGTTATATGCGTGTATCAGTGTATGTGCTTACGGTCTTGCGGATACCAATATGAGAATTTTTTGTATTTTTAAAAACAAGTCCAATTTTTTTTTATTAAATTATTAATATGGAACCAAACAGTATACGTATCTCATATACCTTTTGTTTGCAAACTCTAGAAAAAAACCTTCCCAGCTTTTAGCTTAAAAAATACTCCGTACTTATTTTATCGAACACTATCAACTTTTTTCTTTTAGGGGTTTTTACTTGAATATTACTAATTTTGAACCAATTACCTAAAAAGTGACCACTTTTAAAAAGAGGCAAAAAAGTGATCAAGGAGGTCATATATTTGAAAAAATAGTGTCTGCCAGATTTGTATGTGACTGTTAAATTTTATGTCACTGCAGCCACCGCTCATGTCACTGTAGCCGCCGCTCGTGTCACTGTAGCCACCGCCCGTGTCAGTGCAACCACCGCCCGTGTCAGTGCAACCACCGCCCGTGTCACTGCAACCACCGCTCGTGTCACTGTAGCCATCGCCCGTGTCACTTTAGCACTACCTGTGTCACTTTAGCCCCCTCCCCTGCACCCCCAGCCCCACCCCTGCACCCTCAGCCCCCTCCCCTGCACCCCAAGCCCCCTACCCTGCACCCCCAACCCCCATAGCTTCACAGCTCCGTCCACACTCAACCCCGCCACCTAGCCCCCGGACTGCGCCGTCTGCCCCCTACTCCCTAACCACCATTGTCGCCGGGTCCCAAACCTTCCTCCCAAGCCTTCCACCGGCCAAGTGGCCAACCATTCCTCACCACCACTCAACCATAATCATCGCTAACCAGATCTGGGACTAGATCTGAAAGTCTAGCCGCCGCCACTTTTCAGATCTGATAGAGATCTGGCTGATTCAGAAGAAAGGAGAAGATCAGAAGAAAGAACAAGGTTGTGGCGGCGGAGGCGAGGCGGCGGGATGGGCGGCAGCAGTGCTCGATGCAGTGGCTTCATCCATGGCCGCAGTAGAGCTCGAGGCAGTGGTGGCTTCGACCATGGCGGCAGTAAAGCTCGACGCGGTGGGTTCGTCCAAGGTGGCAGCAGAGCTCGAGGTGGTGGCTCCCTCCACGGTGGCAACAGAGCTCACAGGCAGCACTGGTTCAGGGCTGCGAGACGGAAGAGAAAAGGTTGAAGATGGAAGAAATCAGTTCAACGATGAGAAGCTGTGTGACGCAGACAAAAGAGAGAAAGTTATGCGTTGGTCACTTTTCGGTAATTGACAAAAGTGGTTATATTTTGGTCTAACAAAACTTGGGAAGTATTATTCATGCCATTCTTTCTTTCTTTTATAAGTTATCGTGTAAAAAGTTTTTTTTACACTTTGTATTATATAAAAAAGCACTTATTTTAACTCCAAACTTCTCCAATTCTATACTCCGTATGAGCTAACCAAGTAACCCGTAACCACTTCTGATGTGCTCCGGGCCTCCGGCCATCAGTTAATCGATATCTCTCTTCCATAGATATCGATTAACTTTTCTCATAACTAATAAAGCGATAGATATTCAAGGCCCGATTAACCAATGGCGGTCGCCTTAAAGCTGCAAGAAAGAAGTGCACGCCGCTAGTCCCGATTTGGATAAATTCAGGGGGGAAAGCCCAATTCAGCATAGCGCCAGACCGAGTGTTATCCCGAGTTTACTATGGCTCTGTTTCGAAGCACAAACGGTCAGCTTCCATTAATGAATCTCGTGAGGCTAAAAGGTAAGCCCATTTTGGAACAGTTGTATTTAGAGGAGCGGTTGTTAAGGACTTCTTCGGACAATTGGTGTATCATTAATGATGGGACAGATCAACCCACCGTAGTTATGGGTGTTTCTGGGTACGTTGGATAGAAATTTTGTTCCTGTGTACATTTACTCGATCTTTTCTTTTCTATTTTCTCTCTGAATATACACTGGCTTTTCTTGTTCCATGTATATTTTGTATTAGCTCATTAGTTTTATTGAATTAATGTGAGGAATTGGTGTGAATTCTTGTTAAATTAGTCTACACGTGATCTGTCTCCCGAACATAAAAGAAAGAATTTGAAAGAAAAATGCTACTGAAAATAGAGTTATTAAAACAAAAATGGCTGTCAAAAGGAATTGGGGAAGTGTTTTCTTAAGTGCCTTACAGATGTTCATTCAGTTACTTGAAGAAGTGGGCTGTCCAAAAACGCATTTTGCAGCACAAAATCATAGTTTTGGTCGTGGTCCAAGAATTCATGTAGTTTTGTATCTGTGAAGCTATTCCTCTTAAGTTCTGAATCTTCTGCTTACAGATATCATCGCTGTTGTTGTAAATCAAAACATTACTATAGATTTGTATTCTTCAAATTATTGCTCCCAAATGCTGAGTTGAGATCATGCTCTATGAGTTACTGTAGTCTGCTGCCAGTTAACTGTTTTACTTAGTTTAGCTCAAAGGATATGCTTTTAAGTTTGATTGGCTTTTCAAAATGATACAAGTACTTCATTAGTTTCTAAATATGATGATAAGTGGAAAATGTCAACTAATGAAGAATTTCAGGACAGTGTAACTTGAAAGTAAACCTTTTTGACAGGAAGCCTACTGAACTTATTGAAGTTAATTCTGTTTTACAAGATAAGGTTCCTGTCATCAAAAGGTTCACTGGTGGAGGGACTGTAATTGTTGATCATGGGACTATATTTGCTACCTTCATATGTAATAAGGATGCTGTTCCGCACGTGAAACCTTATCCCCAACCTATCATGAGCTGGAGCGGCTTATTGTATGGAAATGTGTTTCAAGGAATTGGAGAATTTGCTCTTCGTGAAAACGGTGGGTATGATACTGCCTGTAATCTTGTTTCATTCCGTCCAAAAATAAAAAGTTTCTATGTTATCCTATTTTAGTTGTCCCAAAATAAGGTTCTTGTTTGCTTTTTAAGGAATGAATTGTGTGATTCATACTATTTCTGTAACCTCTACGAAATTCAAACCACACAATTTATTGTTCCTAATATAGGCGTGCCAAGTCAAACCACAAATTATGAGGCCGTTTGGAATCACAGTTTTTCGGCTTATCAGACTTATCAGTTAACTTTTTCACCAAACACATAACTTTTGCTTTTGCGCGCTGATTTGTGTAATAAGAAGAAAAAGTAAGGTTGGAGTTACTTTTGGCTATATTGGCTGAAGTTACTGTAGATAACCATTTTAGCTATTTTTACATATATTTTTTTCTTTATTTTATTAATAAAATATAGTTTTAAAATAATTTTTTCTTAAATCATCAAAATCAGCCAATGCAGCCACTTCAGCCAAAACTTCATAAATTTCAGCAGAAACAACCAAATCAGCCGATTTTCGTGCTACCAAACGGGCTCTAAATTTTGGGAAAGATGGAGTATATGATATATGTATTTGTCATTTTAAACAGTCCCACACAGGCATTTTAAAAAATACTCCCTCATGCCTCAACTTTGACTGGCTCATGGAATAAAAAATTTAAAACAATAGTTGAGGTTTGTGCAATGGAAAAAAAATGATATTAGCAACGAATTAATTACTTTAAAGAGAATGTGGCAAAGTATTTGGGACAATCAAGTAAGAAAAGTATTGTGAAGTCCTAGTGGGGCGGAGGGAACATTACGCAATAATTGTTAAGTTCTGTCAGGCATTTTTTCTCCCCCAAGTCAATCCTTATACATAAATTAAACAGCCACACTTATGTCATTTTTAATTCAATTTCTTCAGATTATGTATTTGGCAGCCACAAGTTTGGTGGAAATGCACAGTCGATCACAAAAAATAGATGGATTCATCATACATCTTTTCTATGGGATTATGCAATACATAACATGGGTTATCTCAAGCTTCCAAAACGAGCCCCTGACTATAGACAGGTGCTTTGACTACAGCAAAACAAACTTTTCTTTTTGAGTTTCATAAATAAATGTTGGTATTCAGTCAATGTTGTACAAGGCTCACATAAGATAGCAGCAATAAAAACGTTATTTGGTCCAATATTTGATTATCTGTGTACATTTGCCCAATCAATTCTAAAATTGCAGTTCTTGTGAGCTTAAATAGCTAGTTTCATTGGGAGGATTGGTTTTTTTACTAACATATGTCTATCATTCTATACGTAATCACAGGCAAGACAATAACTTCATGGCTATATATTTTCTTTATTTAGTCAAATCATGTATTTCATTATGAACGTTATTTGGTCCAATATTTGATTATCTGCGCTTCTTTATACATGGCTAAAATGGCTCACTGAACTGTCTACGCTTCTTTTGTTATGAAGCAGCAGTCAGTCCATGCAATTTTCACTATGGGTCATCTGGAAACAGTCTCTTTGTGCTTTAGTCCAGGGGTAAGACTGCGTACATCCGGCCCCCCTTACCCCACCGTAGGTGGGAGCCTTTGCGGCACTGGGGTAAATGAAAATGATGGTGTATTTCTTTATGATTTTTCAGCATACTTAATCTCTAAGCATGTAACTGTAAAATATGATGTTTAAAAACAAATATCATCATTTTCCTTCCCTGTTCTCCAAAATCCCCTAACCAAATACGGGGCCTAAATGTTACTCTTTTTTTACTGGTTGTCCATTTGCTTATGAGAAAAGGGTCAAATAAGGCCTTCTACTATTGTGGAATCGTCACATAAGGTCATGTACTAAATAAAATGCCATATAAATACATATACTTATAAAAAAACAATCGGATGAGTCAAAATGACCCGTTGATAACATCATAATCCCGATTTTAGCTTACGTGTCGGTATTGTTGCCTTGTATTTAAGCCAATCGTGATCAAATATTTCACGTCGGTCTTATAATCCATTTAAAAAAGATAGTCAGACGTACGCTAATATCGGAATTACGAGGTTGTCAACGAGTCATTTTGACTCATCCGATTGTTTTTTTATAAGTAGACGTTTTTATTTGACACTTTATTGAGTACATGACCTTATGTGACGATTTCGTAATAGTAGAAGACATTATTTGACCCTTTTCTCTTTGTTCATTGGAAACTATGGCTTATTCATTTGTTTCATTTCCTTGTGTCTATTGGCTATTGCTTAGGATTGATATCTTTAGCTCAAACCTCTTCTCCCCCTCTTCAGGCAAGAGGACATTTGGACTTCATATGCAGCATGAAGGACTACATATCCAGACCAGACTTTATCAGTAGGACCATAGATGCAGCCAAAATTTATTTTTCTGTGAGACAATTGGAACTGGAAGAAATAGAACACTCACTGAACATGAAATTTGCACCTACTTCTAGATTGGTTATGGCAGAAGAGTTGGAGGAGGCTGCCATTTTCCAACTTTCCAAGAACCCGATCTCTCAGTCACTGTGATTCTGAAACTTTCGTCATGTCATCTATTGATTGTCCATTGATTTTCAAGAACTTCACAGTAAGCCCAGGTGCGGAGAGCTGTCTGGTAATTTTTTAAGCATGTGAAATTTGTTTGTTGTGCTGCTCATGAACCTCTTGACAGGTGTTAGCACTAAAGGTTATAGAATACCATAGAGTCATGAGAAACTGCATATAGTGACCACAAACTATGTGGGACACCCGTTTTGCCATGGTGAGTGAGAGGACAGTTTTTTGAAATTTCAGTGTTGAGTTCTTATTAATGAGCTTTTTAAGTTCAGTTATGATATCAATCTACAACTTGGTCACAAAAGTTAAAAATTGGGGACATTTTTTTTCATTATTACCCTTCAAGCTACACTGATTGTAAGTTTGTAACTGGGAAAATAAAAGTCAGACAGTAATAATCTAGAGTGATGTCTTCTACCTTACATGGAGAACCCAAATTTGGTTGAGAATAGAGGGTTTTCATGTTTTGGTAGCCCACAATATTTTCTCTACCTTCTCCTTGATGTAGAACAAAGAGCACTACTTATTATGTGAATAACACTAACGTGAGAGTATCAGGACTCACGAGTATACAACACTTTCAAATCATTAGGTGGGTTTTCTTTCATTAAGTTTATTGTAAACGTTAACATGCTTTGTAAGGAGCATCTTGGATTCTTGATGATTTGGATGCATCAATATATGTAATTCATACAAGTCATCGACTTGCTCTATACTCCGTTATTTGGGTTTCCTATAGCACACCAATCAAATCAATATAATAACCTTTGTGCACTAAGGATTGGACATCAAAAAGTGGTGTGTTTATTAATAAAAATATGATGGTATTGAGTATTGACTATTGAGTTGATATAATGAATGACCTTTTTTTATGAAATGTAAATATATATTGACACCCAAGAAAATATACATCAAAAGGTTCAAGATCTCCTACCCCCCACCCCTACCTAGTGTAGGGGTTAGGAGAGGTTTTTATTCGATCTAATCCAAAATCAAAATCAAGACGGGGCCTAAGTATACAATACTAAATGTCCCAACACGTCAAAAACAAATCGTTGCTGCAAGACTGCACGCACACAGATCCACAAATCCATAAAAGCCGAGGCTTCAAGAAAAAACTCCAAAGCGTCTTGACTTTTTTATTATTATGAAGAATGACTTTGAATTATGAAAATATTATTACTAGATATGCTGTGAGACAACGAAACATTTTCAAAAGATTTACGGTAGGGTATAAAATGATTTGCAAGTAATTGATTTGCGTATTTTAAAACTGAATTTAGTTTTTAAATGACAACTATCACTATGCAATTAGGGGTGAACCATTTCAGTTTTGGGCCGATTCTGCCTTCCCGTTTTTATATAGGAGCCCGAATCCGGGAGTATCGGGACCTATAAATCTATAATGTTCCAGTCAGGTCCTGGATTTAATTATTTTATTTTATTTTTTATAAGCACCCCCTTAACCTCCCCTCCCCCCCCCCCCCCCCCCCCCCAACCAAAAAAAAAAGGGACCGGATCAGGACCTAACTAGCCAATTCCAATCCCTAAGTTTGGCCAGTTGGGAATTTTAATTTTAGGTCCTGAAACCCCTTGAAGTTTTTCATTAAATAAATTGTTTTAAAACACTGCGCTTTATATATATATAAAGAACATAGTTGTTTTCAATAATTTAGACTTCATCAAGAACATGTTTACAAAATTTCAAAAAAAAAATTGTGGGCCCGTTTGAATAACAGCGGGTGTATGCAATCGCTGCTTTTAGCAGTGGGTAGGTGCGGATTGAACAGAAGTCTAAACGTAGCGATTCTATTTCCAAGAGTGACAAGGCGGCGTTCCAAAAGAATAAATACTCCATCCCCTTTTAAATGTTTCGGAAGAGGGTGACACGAGTTTTAAGAAAAGTGGGTTTGTGTGGTTGATATTAATTGATAAAGTAAGAATAAAGTAAAAATGATTTTGAGTCATACAAACTTTATCAAATACGGTATGAGACAATTAAATAGGGATATCTCAATATGGTAAAACGGGACATTTAAAAGGGGCGGAAGAAGTAGTTAGTACCGTAATTTCTACCTTTATTAATCGTAGATTTAGGCATATTGAAAGGGACATTCAAAAGGGGGAGACATTGTACTTTGTACGTTACACATGCAACTTAAACATAGAAGTCCACCAACACAGTGACACACTCATTAATTTATTCAACCTCATACGGAGTTCACAAACAAACAAGTGACAACAATTTCATACATCTCTCGAAAGTACCAAATAATTAAACAAATCACTAAAATACATCTCCCGTGTCCATAATTTCTGTCTCATTTTAATATCACGAACACAGATATTCGAACACTAACATAGATTGTTCAATTTTATGAGCCTAAAAACCTTGGTTTCAAAAAGGGGTATCAGATCATCGAGAGCCACTTTTAAAAAATAAGCCCTTCGATTCCCCCTTCTATTCAACTACGGACTAACCATTTATTTTATTTCATCCTTTTATATCTGTAGTAATAACTATTTATGGTAATTATATCATTTTGATTTAGTTAAGTGAATTGGGTGCCGAGGTAGGTTCGGCCGAAGTACCAGTCGGGGGGCACGGCATCATTGCACTCGACGGTGCGACCGTCACCGGTGGTTACCCTAAAGGATAGGGTCTGCCCGCCGAGGTAGGAGTTGCTCTCCCAATTCTGCCCCCAGTTCCTGGACATGGGCATCCAATTGGTCTTGGAGCCCTTGATGGACACTGCGTGGACATCACCCGATCCGCCAACATTGGTGATCAGGACTAAGTTGAAGTATGAGTGTCCGTTTACTGTGAACCTTATTCCTCCCTTCTTTTGGCAGGGTACGCTGCAAATAAATGAAACCAAACTCAGTTACTCAGCAATGTTTCAAAATTTAAAGTGCCTCGCCTATTAGCTCAATCCCAAAGTAAAGAGAGACTTAGGGCTGTTTGGAATTGATTGTGTTTATTTCTTTTTTTTAAAGCAGAATCAATTTCTAAAAGAATTGCTTCTAGTAGTAATTTGGAGCACCCAAACGGCCAAAAGTACTTCTGTAGTATCACCCAAACACTTCAATATCTGCTTATGCTCTTTGAAAGAGTAGAAGCAGTTTTTCGGAAGTAGATTCAAACAATCCTTAGTTGCTATTGTAAATTGCACAACAACTTTTAAATACACCTCACACACAATTAGATCATGCATCAAAGAAATAAACAAAAATGAACAAAACTTAAAAGGTGGAGAATTAAACTGGGTACCTTCGGTAGGAGATAGGGACAATCCCAGATTTGTATTGAGCAATTTGTTGGAAAGTGGGCTGAGAGAGGTCAAAGTGGCGGAGGGGAGGGTTGCACCACCCACCTTGGTTGTTGGGGAGGTCCAAATTGGGAGGGCAGAAATTGGTGGCTGTGACCACTATTGAGGGGTTGCCTTCCAGGCAGCTGCCTGGTGCATTCACACATTTCAGCTCAAAGCAAGCTCCACAGCTGAGCCCATTGTTGAACAGAGCTGTACTCAGTGCTGCTGTGTTTGTACCATACCCTTCACTGTACAAATTCCCATACCCACAAGCTCCTCCTGTTTTCGCAGTACATTAAAACCAAAATTTCTTTTTGTACATACTTTTTTTGTAAACACTTCCTAAACACGTCTGTGAGCAGACTGTTTTTTGTATTTGTACATATTGTCATTAGCATGTTCACAGGCAAAACATTGTGATCAGGTTATTCACAAATACTCCTGTAAAAAATAGCTGCTCACAGACTTGTGTAAGAAGACGTATACAAATTACTCCGTATTATTTTCTTTTACATATATGTATATATATAGATAAATGTAACATGTAGGTATACCCATCGTTCCGGAAGCATCGGAACCTCCGTAGAAGGTGGCATGAGCATCCGTCCAGCCACCAGCATCGCCGCCATGAACACGACATGGTGAAGTAAAACACAGAAAGCCCATCAGAACGTAAACCCAAGAATGACCCATTTCTCTTAGATCACCACCGCCGGCCCGGCCTATATTCATAAAATGCGAAACAAAATGGACCAATTAAAGGAAGGTTAGTTAGTTAATTACTGTATTATTTAAGAAACATTTGGTGCTATACTGTACGTATTTACGTCCCTAAGGAATTGAGATACAGACTGGCCTGAGCTCGATCAACAATGGTATCGGTCTGAGTTTTGCAGACCGTCAGAGCAGAGATTATATGTTGTGCGGTGGGAAGAAACCGTGTAGTGGCCTCAATATTTATACATACAGAATACGTAGTACTGATGGTCTTGTGGGGTCCAGTGTGTATTGTACTCGTATTTATCACAGAGTGCACGTACGTACGTACGTACATTTTTAGCGGTGTGAGATTGCCGATTGCGTAGGGACTCCAACTTGTAAATATTTGCATAATTGCATATATAAATATTTCGTGGGGGACTTGTGAGTTGTGAGCTGTGACTACTTTTGTGCTCATATCTTTTTTTTTCTCCGCACTTCTTTCTTTATTCTTTCATTTCTTTCGTCTCTCGTGCATTAAAATACAATTACTATGTACTCGCTCCGTCCCATTTATTTTGTCCCGTTTTACCTTTTCGGGAAGTCCCACTTAAATTGTCTCATACTATATTTGGCAAAGTTTGTGTGGTTCTAAATCATTCTTACTTTATTCTTTATTTATTAATTTCTTATATCAATCACACAAACTCACTTTTCTTAATAACCGTGCCACCCTCTTCCGTCCCAATATAAATGGGACGGAGGTAGTACTTCGTAGTACGCAGTACTAGCTCCGTCCCACTGTGTTTGGGACAAAGGGGTGTGACACAAATTTTAAGAAAAAGTGGAATTGTGTGGTTGGAATTATGTGGTTGCTATTGAATTGATAAAGTGTGAATAAAATAAGAATGAATTGTAACCACTCAAACATGACCAAATATGGTATGAGACAAACTTAATGGGACGGACGGAAAAAGTAAAACAAGACAAAGTTAGGGAACGAATGGAATAGTATTTTTTTATTACATTTTCGCTCACCTATGAGCAAAAAAATGATGTCTTGCTGAAAAAGTCTTGACTCTTGAACTTTGTGTTAGCTTCAATAATGTGTTACTTTCTCACCGGCAGGGATGGATGGGGCGACGATCCTTTTGTAGTTTTAAAATTTTCTATTATATATTCTATAATATTTGTATAATATTTTTATAAAATATTTATACTTTAATTAGATAGTGTTCAATTTGACCTACATAACATAATACTCCGTACTTAATAGGATATTTTAAAGAATAAACATCTAAAATAATTTATCATTAATTAAAATATAAGAACAAAACATTTTTAAAACTTAGGATACTTATTACTATATATAGAAATTCCTAGTTTTCTAATGTTTAATTATCTTTATTAGATAATTAGTGCCCAATTTTGTAAAATATCAAACAATATTAAACATCAATCACACTAGTTAAACAAATTTACATCACGATAATATGAGGAATTACAAAGTCTGGCGTCAGTTTCTACCTAAGTCTGGTGCCGGGCTTGGTCATCCGAAGAGAGAGAACTTCTCACGAAATCACTAGAAAAAACGTCCGAAGAGGTAGAACTTCTCTACAGGTGATCATAGGAAGTGAAAGACATTTATTGCTAAAAAAGAATTCAAATTCCTATCAATTCAAATCAAAAGAAACTTTGAGTATTGAGAGATGCTTTTGTTATTCCCAATAATACAGCTCTATAATAAATATGTTGAAGTAGTTAAATTTGCGGAGTTATGGATAAATTATCCGGAATATTTAAGAATTAAGATGTATTATTTTAATAAAATATTGAAAAAAAAACTAATCATTTAGAACTTTAACTTATTTGCGAAACATAATCTGTACGCACGTGGGTGCAAAATTGAATGAGATGCACTCTTCGATGAGGGCCTTGTCGGGGCATTCAAAGTCTCAAGCAAATTTCGATTTTATTAGGATCTTTCAAAGCGTACCAAAATTTTGATAGCATAGCAGTGTGACATTCGTCGTTCATTGCACTTATCACTTAAGTCAAGATCACAGTCCAAGTACTTGTACCAATTTAAATGCACCGTTTCTTTTTCTTTTACAAAATGACAATATAATGTTAATCTTCCAAATATAATTTTGTGCTAGAGAGGGTGTCGAATGATCTGATTTGACAAATGTTATTTGTTGTACAATTGATTATTTCATTTTGCAGATTTAAGAGCTTGAAATTAAAGCAATACCTATGTAGTATGTACATGTTTTTAACTTGGAATATACGGAGTAATAGATTTATCAAGGAGAGCTTATACAAAACTTATCAATAGATAAAGCTGTAAAAGTATGAAACTAGAAAAATAGGATCCATACTGGTTGGGAATCGGTTCGGGACGGATTTGTACACCGGAATCGGTCAAGTTGACTAGAAGTGGACGGGCCTCCTGGGTTGCAAACTTCAATTTCCCATTGCTCGATTTTAAAAGTACTCCCTCCCTCCTAATAAAATTATCATAGTGGTACATGAATTAAGATAGTGAATATTGTGTGGTGGAGAGTTGTGCATATGTGAGAGAAATATATAAGAGATACTGTAAACCACAAATTCTTAACCAAAAAAAAAAAGAAAAGAAAATTTAATTGGGATTGATGAAACAAAATTGACAGTTTATTTGGGGACGGAGGAAGTAAGGATGTTTTTACTTGGACTGTTTTCAGTGTCATATAAGACCAAATTAGACCAGACTTGGACAGTTATAAAATAAACAGATCAGACATTTACTAGACTAGATGAGACCAGAAAATTTCAGTTCAAGTAAAAACATCATAATCCATTTTGTTGAGGGAAGGAATAATATTTCAATTAATTTTTAGATTGTACTACGTTTTAATAATATGTTATGTGTACGGATAATTTATAAAAAAAAGGATGACACATCATCCCCGAGGGCCCCCCAGTACAACCTGGACAGCTAGTTGGGAGGATGTAAATTAGGATGTTAATTGAGCTGAGAGGTTAATAATTTAAGTCGGGACCTCTCCCTTGTGACACTCCATTCCTATCGGGTGAGCTACGCCCGGTGTGTACGGATAATTTATAAATATTATAATGAGTAACTAGGAAAGCCATCTGGTTAAAAAAACTAGGAAAGCCAAATGTCCAAGACTACACCTAAGTACGGACAGACGATTGAGACGAAGCGAATGAATCGAATGAAATGGTTTGCGCGTGGCAGGGGCGGAACCAGGGGTGCGAGCCGATGCCGGCGCCATCCCTTGGCCGGAAGAGTCAAGCTATATATATGTGGTTATCCGTCGGGTCCCCTGCTCTATGAAACTTTCATCTTCTTTAGAAAATCGCTGGCGCCCAGATCTGCTTGCTTACGAAGCTTGTTTTGTGTTTTAAAAGTTCAATATGTTAAACGGTGTCGTTTGGATCTATGATATGTGAATTATAATATATGATTAAATTATGCTTAATTATACTTCTTGTTGAGAAATGACATGTTTATGTAGATAATGACTATGTTTGGCACAACGAGCTTGAACTGGGGGCTAAAGTCTGAATTAGGGGCTATTATCTGAACCAAAGATTATTGTCTGGAGCTAAACATTGAAGTGCTAAATCTGAACCGTTAACTGAATGGAGTAAATTCGTTTGGCAAAAAGAGCTGAAAATGCAGAGATAATATGAAATTACCATAAAGGGCATAAGATATTAAGATTTATTATTAGAATAAAATATTTATTATATTTTATTAATACGAAGTATATGTATGCGTGTGTAATATTTGTCAATTTATACATGTATATAATATGATATAATAAATTATACTCCGTACTCCGTAATATACTACGTATATATGAGGAAATTAAAGAATAATCCAGAGAAATTTTATTAGGAGCACATCATCCTCTTTGCAAATTGGTCGTAGATATTTTCCAAATTGTGATTATCAATTTCTTCAAGCAAAAAAGAATCCGTTTTTTAATGATGGAGTACGAGCAACATAAGAGTGACGGTAGGGATATTCTTGGATTGCGAAAGTCTGCTATCCATGGGCTGAACGAAACACTACGCATGTTAACGTTTGATTTCAGTTAAACTAGTATACTCACCCGTGCGATGAACGGTTTGAAAAATTTTCTTTCAAATTTATGTCTACTTATTAATTCAAATCACACTATCAATTGATGACAACATCTATCTTTATGTATGATAAGTCCGTATTTAGACACGCATTTGATGCGTGTTGGGATTGGATTTTGATGGTTTTCCTAGATTTAAGGTTTTGCAAGTCTTAATTTTAGCTCAAGTTATGTTTAACCTGCGTTGGTTCGAGTTTTGTTGCATTTGGAGTCAAAATGAGGAATTTAGAGTTCAACATCGGCACTTGAGGAGCAATCGGGGTGATTCGAGATGCATTCGAGAGTGGATTGAGAGCTTTGGAGGTCACCGGGAGGTTCACGATGAAGATTTGATGACAAAAGAGCTCTAGGATTGGCTATGGGATCAAAAGAAGAACAATGAAGCTGGAAAAAACGACGATCAGGATGACCTTTGGTCAATCGTTCAAGCATATCTCTTTGTAGAAGAATCCAAAGGACACGATTCAAGTTGCATATGAAAGCCAACTTCAAGGGCTACAAATCATATGAAGACACCATTACGAGAATATGAGAGCAAGAAGGTGAAAACAGATGATGAAGTCAGATGATCTCTGCTGCGATTTCAGAATGACACCTTCCACCATTTTGATCATATCTCTTGATTGGATGATTCAAATCACATTCGGCAAGTTGGGGTGGATAGAGGACTTCATTATCTACAACTTTCATAAAGGAAGTTTTGTCAAATTCGGACTAGAAAAAAGGCTGAAGAGCACGGACGCACGCCCGTGCGTAAAAGGACGCACGATCGTGCGTAAGAGCCAACAACGCGATAACATTCTGCCTGCTACGCACGATCGTGCGTACCAGGCCACGCACGATCGTGCGTACACCCGAGACGCGGATTTCAGCCCCTTTTTAGTCCCAGTTCAGCCCAAACTCATTTTTTTTTATAAATAAGACCCCCATACCCATATTTTGACGTTACGAACATTACGGAGAGGCCTAGGGACGAATTTAACACCGTTTTTATGCTATTTTCTTCCAAGACCCTAGGATTATTTGTAAGTTCATCTTTTTAATTAATGACAATTATTTCTATTCATCCCAATTCTGTTGATTCTTCAATTATGAATTGTGAGTAGTTTAATTAGGGATTTGGGGTTGATGAAGGGGTTAATCATGATTGATGGCTAGATTCTTGTCGGTTTAATTGCATGAATGCCGTTTAATTTGTGTTTGAATAATTTAATTGATATCTCTTGTAACCTAGACTGCAGCTAGAATTACAATTGCATGTAGAATGAATTAAGAGAGATCTAATTTGTTCTAGGACACATTCACACACACTTAATCGTTCGCTAAGAGATTAGTAGCGATTAAGGGG